ATAAAATCCCAAGAAATCCACACACAAAAATCTAGTACAAGTAAGTTCAACAAGTTGGAAGGGTATAAGATCAACATATTTTTCAAAAAATCAGTTGTTATTTCTATACATGAGAACACAATTACAATAACATCAAAAAATAAAATGTTTATGTAATTTATATTCAGGAAAAAAATTAAGATTAGTGTAAGACTTGTCTACCACAAATTAGAAAGCATTATTGAAAAAAATGAAAGAAGATTTAAATAAATGGAAAAAATTCATGTCCATGGATCAGAAGATTTAATATTAAGATGGTAATAGTCCCCAAATTAATCTATAATTCAACCCAAGCCCTACCAAAATCTCCACTGATTTTTATACAAGCTTATCCTACTATTCATATGAAAATGGAATGGACCCAAAATAGCCAAACCGATCTTTAAAAAAGAAAACAAACCATTACACACATATTACAAAGGCCGAAATCTGAACACTGATTTCACCAAATGCTGGTGAGAATAGAGAGCAACATTGCATTGGTGGGAAAGCAAAATGGTACAATCACTTGGGAAAACAGTGGCTTTGAGGATTTCTTGCAACACTAAACATACTACCATACAATCTAGCCATCAGTCCCTTGGTGTTTACCCAAAGGAGCTGCAACCTTATGCTCTCACAGAAACCACCACACGGGTTTTTATAGCAACTTTATTCATAGTTGCCAAAACTTGGAAGCAGCCTAGATGCCCATCGGTGAGTGAATGAACAAATAAACTGTGGTCCATCCATCCAATGAAATATCATTCAGTGCTAAAAATAAATCAGCTATCAAGCCAGGAAAAAGACATGGAGAAACCTCAAATGCGTATTACTAACTGAAAGAAGCCAATCTGAAAAGTACACACACTGTATGATTCCAACTATATGACATCTGGAAAAGGCAAAACTATGGGTACGTTTACTTTTTATGGAGTAAAAAATCAGTGGTTGCCAAGGGGGGGTGGGGCATAAACAGGCAGAGCACAAAGATTTTTAGCGCAGTGAAAATATTCTGTATGATATTATCTAATGATGGATATTATACATGGGTGTATACATATATAATGATGGATGTCATTATACATTTTCCCAAGCCCTGCAGAATATACAACACCAAGAGTTAACTCTGAGGTAAGCTATGGACTTCGGGTGATTATGGTATGTCAGTGGTGGTGAATCCTTGGTAACAAATGTACCATTCTGGGGAGTGATGTCAATGATGAGGAGGCTATGTATGTGTGGGGACAAGGGATATATGGGAACTCTCTGTGCCTGTTTCTCAATTTTGTTGCAAACGTAAAACTGCTCTAAAAAATAAATAAACAAAGGGAGGTGGGGGAGAGGGGAAAATGTGTGATGGGCATGGAGGAAGGCACTTATTGGGATGAACACTGGGTGTTGTATGTAAACAATGAACCACAGGAATCTATCCCAAAAACCAAGAGCGCACTTTGCACACTGTATGTTAGCCAACTTGACAATAAATTATATCTTTAAAATTTTAAAAATTATATTTAATAAATAAATATCTTTAATAATATTTACTTTAATAATAATATTTATTTAATGATAATAAATACATAAAGTCTTTTAAAAAAAAAAGAAAGAAAAACAAAGTTGGAGGGCTCACGCTTCCCAATTTCAAAAGGAAGTACAAAACTATAATAACCAAGACCCATTGTGCTACTGGCATAAGGATAAATCGTAATTTTTACTGCACGTAAAAATTAGTGCAGTAGAACCAAGAGTCCAGAAATAAATCCTGAATAAATCTGAAAAGGAAATCACAAAAACAATTCCATTTATAATAGCATCAAAAATAATAAAATACTTAGGAATTAACCAAGTAGCTGAAAGACTTACACAATGAAAACTACAAAACCCTACTGAAAAAAATTAAAGAAGATGTAAGTTAACGGAAACACATCCCAAGTTCACGATAGGAAGAATCAATGTTGTTAAGATGTCCATACTACTGGAAGCAGTCTACAGATTCAATGCAATCCCCATCAAAATCTAAATGCCATTTATGCGGAAACAGAAACACCCATCCTGAAATTTATATGGAATCTCAAGGGATCCCAAATAGCAAAAACAACTTTGAAAAAGAAGAACAAAGCTGAAAGACTCACACTTCCTGATTTCAAAACTTCCTACAGAGATACAATCACCAAAACCGCGTTAAGCACAGTCTTTTCAACAAACAGTACTGGGGAAACTGGTTACCCACCTGCAAAAGAATGAATTTGGACTTACCTAACACCATGTACAAAAATTAACACAAAATGGATCAAAGACTTAAATGTAAGACCAAAAAGAAAACTCTTAGAAGAAAACATGAGTCCAAAGCTTCATGACATTTGATTTGGCAGTGATGTTTTTGGATGTGACACCAAAAGCATAGGCAATGAAAGAAAAAACAGATAAATTGGACTTCATGAAAATTAAAAATGCTGTGCCTCAAAAGACAGAGTAAAAGGGGCGCCTGGGTGGCTCCTGGGTTAAGCACCGACTTCCGCTCAGGTCATGATCTCGCAGTTCATGAGTTTGAGCCCCACATCAGGCTCTGTGCTGACAGCTCAGAGCCTGGAGCCTGCTTCAGATTCTGTGTCTCCCTCTCTCTCTGTTCCTCTCCTGCTTGATCGTTCGCATGCACTCTCTCAAAAATAAACATTTAAAAAAAAGAGAGTAAAAAAGCAACACAATGAATAAGATAAACATTTGCAAATCACATATATAATGAGGGGTTAATATCAAGAATATATAGAGAACACCTCAAACTCAACAACAAAAATAAACAATTCAAAAATGGGCAAAGGACTCGAATCGAGATGTCTTCAGATAAAGTCTACAAATGGCCAATAAGCACATGGAAAAATGCTCAACATCACTGACCATTAGGGAAATACAAATCAAAACCACAATGAGGTATTACTGTATACCCATAAAGATGGCTATTATCAAAAAAATAAAAGAGAAAAAACAGAAAATAACTAGTGTTGGCTAGAATGTGAAAAAAATAGAACACTTGTGCACTTGTGGTGGGAACATAAAATGGTACAGCTGCTGTGGAAAACAATATGATTGTTCCTTAAAAATTTAAAAATAGGATTATCATAGGATCCAGCAATTCCATTTCTGCATATATACCCCGAAGAATTGAAAGCAGGGTCTCAGAGAGGTATTTATGTGTTCACCCATGTTTAGGGAAGCATTATTCACAATGTCTACAATGTGGCAACCCAAGTTTCCATCAACAGATGAATGGATAAGCAAAATGTGGTATACAACTATAACAATACTATTCAGCCTTCAAAAGGAAGAAAATTCTGACGTGTGCTACATCGTGGATAAGCCTTGGGGACATTATGCAGAGTGAAATAAAGCAGTCACAAAAAGGCAGATGCTGTGTGATTCTACTCCATAGGGGATAGAGTGGTCACAATTGTAGAGACAGGAGAATGAGGGTTGCCAAGGGCTGGGAGTGAGGAATTACTGTTTAATGGATGTAGAGTTTCAGTTTTACAGGAAGTAAAGAACTATGAAGACGGATGGTGATGATGTTTGCAGCAACATCATATATGTATTTAATGTCACTGAACTGTGCATTTAAAAATGGTTATGATAATAACTATTATGTGTATTTTAACACATAATTTATTTTAAATTGGAAAGAGTCAATATAATACACGCCATTAATAGAATAAAGGATAGAAACAATCACTAAATTGTGATCGAAGGAAATAGGTTGTAATGGCTGATAATCTTATCTCCTTACCTACAGAGTTTGTCTAAATTCTTTCAAGATAGGTCATTAAATCCCTCCCACCAAAACCTACATATTGGTAAATCAGCCTAAAACTCTGCCTGGAGCCAGCATGGCACATTCGAGGGATTCCTGTAGGCTAGTATTTAGAGGAAAGTGAGGGGTGCCTGGGTGGCTCAGTCGGTTAAGCGTCCGACTTCGGCTCAGGTCATGATCTCGCGGTTCGTGATTTCAAGCCCCGCGTGGGGCTCTGTGCTGGTGGCTCAGAGCCTGGAGCCTGTTTCAGATTCTGTGTCTCCCTCTCTCTGACCCTCCCCCGTTCATGCTCTGTCTCTCTCTGTCTCAAAAATAAATAAAGGTTAAAAAAAATTTTTTTTAATAAATAAATAAATAAATAAATAGAGGAAAGTGATAGAAAATGAAGCTGGAGAGGCAAATTGAGGCCAGATCCTAATAGAATCCAGCCACCCCTAGAAAAGAATTTGGAATTTAGCCTGTAAGTACCAGGATGCTATTGAAGCCTTTCTAGCAGCAGGGAGGGTTTCTCGATCAAACTTTGCGGTTATATACAGTAGTCCCTCCTTATCGGTGGTTTCACTTTCCAGGGGTTCAATTGCCCTCAGTCCACCACTGCCAGAAGTGGGCGATCCTCCTGACAGATGGTCAGAAGCCTAAGGCTACCTCACCAGCCCACATCGCTCATCCCATCACCATCTCGTGGGCTCTCCCCATCAGAATGCCTTCTGCGGGGATCCCGCCCCCCCCCCCAAATCCTATAGTCTAAGCCAGACACCCCCCCCCTCCGTTGGTTGTTTCTCCTTCTGACCTAGAATATGAAGTAGAGCACCCCAGAGGATTCTTAGCACCCACCACAGGCCAGCCGAAGGTTCAAGTCATTTTCTGAAGACTTACATTTTAGTTGAATGTGATGGTTGCAATTCAATGAAACCTCTGGTTTCTGACGGGCCACAGGTCTGTTGCATTTTTACCTCTCCCCCCGGATGGAGTGGGTGTTATCTTCTCAGTGTGGTTTCAACTGGTCACATTTTAGGTTTGCCTATGTGTGTGTTTGTCATTGCTGGGGTTTTTGTTTGTTTTGTTTTGTTTTTGTTTTGTTTTGTTGTTTTTTGTCTTGTTTTGATTCAGTGGCTCGGGACTAAGCTCGTATCTTCTGGTGTCACAGTGATCAATCTGCTATCACGCATTCCCCCAGGTCCATAGCTGTCGCAGTGCAGTGTCTCCACATAACCCACCAAGAACCAGTAAGATTAATCGTGAACTGGGGAAGAACTCCGCGATTGTTCTCAAGAGGCCTCGCGGAAAATACAGGCTACTGAAGTCCTTCCCAGGGCGCCTTCTCCCTACTTCTTCAATAAAGGATGCAATCTGATCACAAGTCGACTCTACCCTTTTTAAAAACGATCTGAGTGAGCATAGACAGATACAGCCGGTCCAGGGGCTCTAGGAAAGTCAAGCTACTTTATCTTAGGCTGGAGGAGATCGGTCTGAGCGAAGGGACGCCGTCATGTGAGATCGGGAAGTACTCTGACTTTGAAGGCAGGCATAATGTCAAGGTAGCGATGGCAAGACTTCTGATTTTACTGTGCTTTCATTGCGTCACCTGTAACACAGAAATCATAGTTCCTAGCCCACGGAGGAGATGCAGACATTAAATTATAATACATCACTAAAGGACTTAGAAGAGCTTCTGGTTTATTCTAATCCCTCAATAAATGATTAGTGATTATCATTTATGAGCTCTTCTCATTATAGCTGTAGGACGAGGATATAGGAGGCTAGGTGCAATTGTTATTTTCCAAGAATTAGTGACCAGAGTCCCCCTCTGAAAGCAGATGTGCTCAACATTCTAAGTCCATAAAAACCACTGGAGAGCTTGCTGGGGCGGGGGGGGGGTGCTGTTGTGGTCAAATTGTGTCCCCCCAAAAAGATATGTGGGGGTCCCAGTCCCCCAGTACCTCAGAATGTGACCTTTTTTGGGAATAGGGTCTTTATAGAGGTAATTACAATAAAGATGAGACCATTAGGGTGGGCCCCCATATTAATGACCGGTGTCCTCATGGAAAGGGGAAAGTGGACACAGAGGCGCGCGCACACACACACACACACACACACACACACGAAAGAGTATGTAAAGACTCAGAGAAAACATGAAGACAGAGGATGGGAGGGATACATCTATCTACCAGCCAAGAAACACCAGATTGCTGGGAAATCACCAGAAACGAGGGAGAAGCAAGGAAGGATCTTTTCCTAAAGGTTTCAGAGGGGGCATGACCCTGTCAACACCCTGATCTTGGATTTTGGACGTCAGGCCTCCGGAACAGTGAGACAATAAATTTCTATTGTTCTAAACCACCCTGTTTGTGATACTTTGTTACGATAGCCTAGAAAACTACCACAGGTGGCTTTTCACTGTAATGAGCACTGCATCCCCCCTCCTTAGAGAGTGTTAGGTTTATAGACGGGGTGATCCTCACACCCCCACGTCCCACAGCGTGGGGGATACGTATTTGATAGAACACGCAGCAAGGCACCTCTGCAAAATGCTGCTGCTGATGTCAGCCGGAAGATGACGCCAGGTTACAAAAGAGGCCACCGCCACCTGAAAAAACTGCTCAGAACTGTCTACTTGATATTGTAGACAGTGGAAGCCTCCACGTACCCACCTAGAATGAAGGCAGAATCTACAGAAAGAGGACCGTATCCTGACATGGGGTTATATGCACAGGGAATAAGGCATGTATAGTGAGCGAGGAAGACGGTCGCCTCTCCACGAGCAGTCACAGCTCAGGTATCTCCTGGGTGCCCGCATTGCAAGTAAAGGAATCAGGTGGGGGTGGGAGCGGTCCCCAGCCCTCCCACGAACCATCCTACAAGCCACTGGAGCCAAAAGACCGGCCCACCCTTCTTTGTTAGGGGGCGGGGGGCAAAACTTGGACTCAGATGTGAAATGGAAGGCCTAAAATCATCAACTCTGAGCCTTGAGAGCTTAAACGAGGATGTTTCAATCATCAGGACTGGAAGGACCATCCACTCACCTGCGCTCACTAGGAGAAAACAGCGTCAGTTCCATTGCAGGAACCTGAGCGCCCCCAGAGCGGACACGCTACCCGCAGGGTCACGACCGTCAGCCCTTTTGTGAGTTCTCTCCCATGATCACGTATTCCTAAAACGTGGAATCCACTGGCACACGTAACTAATACTCTGTGATCTCTAACACAACATCTGCTAGCACATGAATTCCTGCCAGTGGCAGCTGTCAGAGGGGCATCAGCAGTCCCACGGGCAGGCTCATGAACATTTCAGGCGGCCAGAGTTCAAGTGTGTGTTGACCACAGATCTCAAGTTCTTAAGAGAGTGGGGGGCAGAGCCTCTAGGCGGTTTAGCTCACCTGCTGCTCAAATTCTGCCTAGTTAATTTTTTTTAACTCCGTTTGCATGCTTTACCGCCCCCATTGATCTCAGACGATGTGCACAGTCAAAGGCATTCATGAGTCTGTGGTTTTACAAACTTCCTTTAGCATCTTCCCATAAAACGTGTGCCCCGCTCTCTATTCAAACCTAGCCCAAACCTAGGACCGTCTTTCAGAAGTACTCCGCGGCCTGTCATGATGTCAGTTCTTGCACGTGGGCGTGCTTCCACTCATCCTGAAAAAGCACACCGCAGCAACTCTCGGGCAAAGGAAGGACCACCCCATCGTGGGATTTCTGGGGAAATTATGAGCACGTTCTTGTTTGTCGCGGTGAGCAAAGCAGGAGACCCGCCAATAGAAGCCTTTAGAGAAAGAGAGCCAGGAATGCTAGAACTTTCTGCAATGCTCAGGACAGTCCCAGACGATGATGAATTGTCTCTTGGGACCTTTGAATGTCCCACCAGCCATTCATGAGGAAGATGAACTTATTTATGATTATCTAAGATCAGAACTTAATAACTTTCGGGAATTATCCTATATCCAAGTTCCCAGGAAGGTAGATGCCCGTGTACTTTGTTTTTCACTTGGGACTTCCCCAAGAGGGATTAACCACATAAAATAATAGGAGAAAAGGTCATGCTACCCGTGGGATGTAAGTTACCTGTACAACACACTGTATCAGCCTGCATTTGTAACTGTCTCATGCAAACATGTAACAGAAGAGATCTAAGACAGCTTTAAGGTAAAATGAATTACCAAGTTTGGGGGAAAAAAAAAAAACCCAAGAAATACAGGGAGCTCATTTGATTTTTATTATCGTTTTAATGCTTATTTTTGAGGAGTGGGGAGGGCACAGAAAGAGGCAGGAGGACAGATATCTGAAGCAGGCTCTGTGCTGAGAGCAGAGAGCTCAACGCGAGGCTCGAACTCATAAAACTGTGAGATCATGACCTGAGCCAAAGTCTGACTCTTAACCAACTGAGCTACCCAGGTGGCTGCTCTAAACATGGTGCGTATTATTGCCACCTGTGGTGGTTGATTTTGTGTGTCAGTCGAGGGGCCGGCAGGATGCCAAATGATGTTTACCTGGTTAAGCATCATGGCTGGGTGTTTCCAGAAGAGAATGGCATTGGAGTTGGTGTACTGAGTAAGCGGACCGGTGTGGGTGGGCACCGTCCGATCCACTGAGGGCTTGCATAAAATGAGAAGGCAGAGGAAGACTGAATTTGCTCTCTGCCTGACTGATGGAGCTGGGACATCATACTTCCGCCTTTCTCAGGCCTTCAGACTGGCATCTACACCATCTGCCTCTGACTCTGAGGCTTTCAAACCACACCGCCAGCTTCCCTGGGGCTCCAGCTGGCAGAGGGCAGGTGACAGGACTTCTGGGCCTCCACAGTCATGTGAGCCAATACCTTATAATAAATCTCTTTATATAGATGTCTGAAATATAAAGAAAGATATACATATGTTCTATTTTTCTGGAGAACCCTAATACATCACCCTACATGCATATTTTAATATTTTATAACACATGGTAAAAACTCTCTCCTCAACATCCCATATCGAAGTTGCACATCTGGGTTTTTCCCTGTTGTTTTTCAGTCATACTCGGATGCTAGCTTCAGCACTCTGAAATTGGCCTCGGCCCGGTCTGCCCACGTGGGTTAACATTTATCCTTCTTTCTGCTATCTTACTAAGAATTCTGTTCTTTTTTTTTTTTTTTTTTTTAATTCTGTTCTTTATCGCTTACTGCAATAATTTCGCTCCCACCTCTGCTCCTTTTGTTTTTTTCGTTTTTGGGTTTGTTTGTTTTTTTTGCATTTCTTATACAGATGGCTTCTGATTTACTTACCTCTCTTAAATATAAACTTATGATTATAAAAATGTTCAGGCATCTATTACGTCTTCTAATATATTCAGCCTTGAAATTTTATACGATGAAATAGATATTTTATTATAATTTAAAAAAAATTTTTTTTTAACTTTTATTTTTTATTTTTGATACAGAGAGAGACAGCATGAACGGGGGAGGGCCAGAGAGAGAGGGAGACACAGCATCTGAAATAGGCTCCAGGCTCTGAGCGGTCAGCACAGAGCCCGACGCGGGGCTCGAACTCACAGACTGCGAGATCATGACCTGAGCTGAAGTCGGACGCTTAACCGACTGAGCCACCCAGGCGCCCCTATTATAATTTTTTTGTAGCTTATATTACAGTGAAGGTCTTACACTGGGCTGGAAGATAGGACAAGCCTGGTTTTGCCACTAACTGGTTGTGTCCTGGTAAGCAAGTCACTGCCTTTCTCTGCGTGTCAGTTACATCACGTGTGAAATAAGAGAGCCAGACTTTCTAGGTTTTCTCCCAAATGCATCACTCAAAATTTCATATAAGATAACATGGTGGATAAAGGACTTTACTTCTAAACCCATGCTATTCTTTTGACCTTTTTAGGAATTATTTTTATAAGTTTTGTCTACATACTTGCTTTTCTATGGCCTTGTCTTTTTTTTTTTTTTTTTTTTGAGAGAGAGAGAGAGAAACGAGTGGGGGAGAGGTAGAGAGAGAGGGGAACACAGAATACCAAGCAGGCTCCAGGCTCTGGGCTGTCAGCACAGAACCCGACGTGGGGCTTGAACCCACGAACCACGAGATCATGACCTGAGCCAAAGTCAGATACCCAACTGACTCAGCCACCCAGGCACCTCTTCTGTGGTCTCATCTAAGCCTGTTTGCTAATACAGTGCTCTTAATACGTGTTCTTAATACACGGTACTGGTGAGCAGTCCCTGACCTTCAAAGAAGGGTTGTTTGTCGTATTGGTTATGCCGTAATTTCCCTCTCCTTAATACAAACACTCTGTTTCCTGGCTGTGGGTGAATCATTCCAGAAATGTTTGCTTATGAAGACTTCAATATAGATTGAGGTATTAGAAGCCACAGGAACATCTGGACTCCCCAGAG